AGACACCCAGAGAGAGGGGGACAGACACCAAGAGAGAGGGGGACAGACACCCAGAGAGAGGGGGACAGACACCCAGAGAGAGAGGGGGACAGACACCCAGAGAGAGAGGGACAGACACCCAGAGAGAGGGGGACAGACACCAAGAGAGAGGGGGACAGACACCCAGAGAGAGAGGGGGACAGACACCTAGAGAGAGAGGGGGACAGACACCCAGAGAGAGAGGGACAGACACCCAGAGAGAGGGGGACAGACACCAAGAGAGAGAGGGACAGACACCCAGAGAGGAAATGCCAGAGACCAGGGAGGGGGCACATGACCCTGAGAGGGTGACAAAGCTCTGGGTGGAGGGCAGACACTCAGAGTGAGAGGGTGAGGCAAGCCGAAGAGTGGGGGCGGGGGGAAAGGATCCTGGGGAGCGAGGACAGGGACCCTGAGAGGGTGAGGGATGGCACCGTGAGAGAGAGGGGAAGACCTGTGAAGAGGGCTGGGGACCCGAAGAGCTGTGGGTAGGCAGGGCCGTGTGACCCTTGCCAGCGCTCTGACAGGGACAGCAGCTGTGCCTGGCCTCCGGTAACCGGAGCCCCCTGTGTATTTATAGCCCTGGCCTGGCCCGGTCCCCTGCCCCCAGGTCTGAGTTCCAGGGACAGGAGGTCATGGGCACGGGTGCTGGGAGCGGGTCCTTAGCCCCTCGCTAAGCCCTCCGCCATGGCACCCACTCGCTCAGCGCAGTGTCCTGTTCCTGCCAGAAACCCCGCAGTCTAACCCCAATCCCTCCACCCGGCGGCCTCACCCCTGAAATACATCTCTCCTGGCCCCCAGCTGCCCCGGGCTCCCCCAAGTTGGCCCGTTACAAGTCTAGCTGTTATCTCTGCAGCTGCCAAACATGAGCTTGTTGGGAGTCCAAAGTCAAGTTTCTTGGACCCCCCACTCCTGACCAAGGAGAGACCCCTTCACCCACCCCTTCCCAGCTGGGAGGAGGAGGAGCAGGAGGGGAAGGACAGGCGGACTGACCCAGAATAACTCAGGGCTGAGAGTAAATTTAGCCACAGAGAGGGGAGGGGAGAGACCCTATTGGCTGGGAGGTGGGAGGGAGGGCCTGAGAGGGGGGTCAGGGGGCTCCTGAGACTGCCTCACAGGGGTGGCCAGTGCCGGCAGCGAGGGCCAGAGGAAGGCAGACGGGCAAAGGTGGGAGAGACACAGCAAAGGAACGGCAGCGAGAAAGAGAAAGACTCCAGAAGAGACAAGAACCCCCCCAACATTCGTCCACATCGCCGCAAGGGGCAAGCAGAGCCAGCCTGGGAGAAGGTCTGCTGCCCGTCCGTCCCCATGGGCCGCCGTGGGCCATGGCTGCACACGTCTGTCCTCTGGGCTGCCGTGGCCAGCCTGCTCCTCCCTCCGGCCATGACCCAGCAGCTGAGAGGGGCTGGGCCCGGCCCCAGCAACTGGAACAACAATGCAGGAGTCTCCTCAGAGGACATGTCAGGTGAGTTCGGCCACCCCACCCACAGCCACGGAGGCCACGGAGACGAGAGCGAGGGTGTTTTCACGGACAGTGGGCCTCCGTTCTGGAGCCACAGAGACCGCGGGGAAGAGGACGAAAACGTCTCCGGGGAATATGGTCACCGACTCCAAGGCCACAGGTCCCAAGGCCGCGAGGCTGGAGACGAGAATGTCTCTGATGAGGAGGTCTTCGCAGAGCGTGGCCATGGGAATGACCACGTAGATGATTCAGCAGCGCATGGGCACCACTTCCCCGGCCACAGGAGCCACGGCCATCAAGACGAGGATGAGAACGAAGTTGTGTCCAGTGAGTATCAACATCACATGATGAGGCAGGTACACCAAGGCCACGGAGAAGAAGAGGAGGAGGAAGAGGAGGAGGAGGAGGGTGTTTCTATTGAATATGGACACCAGACCCATAAGCACCGAGGCCACAGAGAAGAAGAAGATGCTGATGCTGATGCTGCTGCTGCTGATGATGATGATGATGATGGCTCTAATGAGTATGGCCTCCAGGCCCACAGGTCCCAAGCCCACAGGAAGGAAAAAGATGACGATGACTCAGATGAACACCACCACCATGTCCCTGGCCATGGACACCAAGGCCACAAAGAAGAAGAAGAAGATGATGATGATGACGATGACGATGATGCCTCCACTGAGTATGGACACTGGGCGTACAGGCACCAAGACCACAGCAAGCAAGAGGATGAAGATGACTCAGATGAGGATGAACACCACCACCATGTCCCTGGCCACAGACACCAAGGCCACAGAGAAGAAGAAGATGAAGATGAGGATGAGGATGAAGATGCCTCCATCAAGTATGGACACCTAGCCCACAGGCACCGAGGCCACGTGGAGGAAGAGGATGCAGTCTCAGACGAGCACCACCATCATGCCCCCAGCCGCGGACATCCAGGCCATGGAAACAAGGAAGACGAGGGTGAGGATGTGTCCACTGAACACTGGCACCAGCTTTCCAGACATACTCCCCGCAGCCTTGGAGATGAGGAGGAGGAGGAGGAGGAGGAGGCCACAGTCGAGTTCAGTCACCACGTTGCCAGCTACCGACCGCCAGGCGCCAAGAGCACCGAGGAGGAGTACTTCCCAGACGAGTACAAAGCAGAAGTCCCCCGCCATCACCCCCACGCAGTCCCCGAGGAGGAAGGCGAGGACAGCTCTGCCAAGCTGGGCCCCCAAGCTCCCAGCCATCGTCAACAAGGCCACGGCGATGAAGACACCGGCCAGAAAGCGTCCATCAAAGAAATCAGCCCCCAGGCCCCAGAGCACACCGGGGTCAAGGATAGAAGCCATCTGGGGGAAGGAGATTCTGAGGAGGAAGAGGAAGAGGAAAAAGAAGAAGAGCACAGCTCCCAGGAGGAAGATGAGGAAGATTCAGAGCAGGAAGAGGAAGAGGAAGGCCCCCACCAAGGCAGCCGGGCCCAGGAGGACGAGGACGATGAGGAGGAAGGCCATGGCCTCCGCCTGAGCCAGGAGGAGCAGGAGGAGGAGGAGCAGGAGGAGGAAGAAGAAGAAGAGAGGAGAGAAGAGAGGACTGAGGTTCAGGCCCCACTGAGCCAAGACCAGCACAGGGAGGAAGACGAGGAGGAGGGGCTGGAGGAAAACCGGCTTCCCTTCACCATCATCCCCAACCCACTGGCCAGGAGGGAGGTGGCTGGAGGTGGCCCCAGCGAGGAAGAGAGTGGCGAAGCCGGTAGGTGCTCTGGCCTGGTGGGAGCGGGGGGAGCCGCGTCAGTGTGGGTCACTCCTGCCCTCCTGTCCCCACAGGTCCGCAGGACGCCCAAGAGTACGGCAACTACCAGCCAGGGTCCCTGTGTGGCTACTGCTCCTTCTGCAATGTATGTCCCCAGCCCAGGCCCACCCACCAAGCAGTCCCTGGTGCCCCGGGGGCGTTGGGAGGGCCCTGAGCAAAGGAAGGGCAGGGTTAGTTCCAAGTGAAGAAAGACACTTCTGGGCCGTATTGGGGACAGACTGGAGGCGAGGAGCGAGGCTGGGGCCATGGTCCAGGAAGGGGAGGGTGTAGGGAGAGAGGAAGGTCCTTGACAAGGAGTCGGGGGAGGAGGGTGTCCCTGGGGCTGGAGCATGACAGGCTGCAGGGAAATATAAAAGGGGGAGCAGAGAGCATCCGTGGGTCCAGCCTGCAGTGATGGGGGGATGGGGCGTCCCCCTGCCATAGGAAAACAAGCAGGGAGAGGTGGCTTTGGGGGATGATACTGAGCTCAGGGTTGGAGGTAATGAGGCTGAGGAGTTCGGGGAAGGGTGGGAGACTGGCAGGTGGCTCCCCAAAGGGGTGAAGGTTTCAGTCTAACCTGCCCCCTCCGGTCCCCAGCGATGCACTGAATGTGAGAACTGCCACTGTGACGAGGAGAACATGGGAGAGCACTGTGACCAGTGCCAGGTGAGACACCCCGCCTCCCCCCCAGGACTCAAGGCTCCACCCCCGCCTCAGGATGGCCCAGGACCCCCCAGCCCCAAATCCTGGCCTCCGCCCTCAAACTGACCAAACCCCTTACCCCCTGATGCAGCCTTGACTCCACACTCGAACCCTGCCTCTGACCTTGACCTCCACCTAGCAAGCCTCCGCCCCACGCCCCCATCCTGACTCTGCCTTTGACCACGACCTGCCACTCACTCTCTCTCCCCCGCCCCCCCCCCCCCCCCCCCAGCATTGCCAGTTCTGCTACCTCTGCCCGTTGGTCTGCGAGACTGTCTGCACCCCGGGTAAGCGGAGGGCGGCCTCCGGAGAAACCCGGGGAAGGGGCGGGGCCAGGGAGCGGACCCCGGTGGGGACTGGGAGGTTGGAGCTTCTATCCCCCAAGATTGGGAGCCGGTTGAGGGGTGGGCCTAGAACGGAATGGGCGGCTGCCGGAGCATGGGGAACCTTCCTAGTGGAAGGAACTCGGTTTGGGGAAGGAATTAGGAAAAGAGGGCGGAGCTGGCCTTGGTCCCGGGCGCGGTGAAAAGTGACCCCTACTTTCGCCCGTGCAGTACCCCTCAAACCGGTTCTCTCTCCTCTCCCACAGGAAGCTACGTCGACTATTTCTCCGCGTCCCTGTACCAGTGAGTGTGTGGAGGGGGGAGTGTGAGGGCCCCGGCTAGAGGCGGCCCTGGGTCACATGAACGGGACGGTGAACGATCTCTTGGGTGAGCTTGGGGCGCGTCGGTGGGTGGTCTGACCATTGCGTCCTCCTCTCCAGGGCCCTGGCGGACATGCTGGAAACTCCGGAACCCTAACCCGGCCGCGCGGCTGCGGCGCAGACGTCCCTCCCTGGCCCTCCAGCACCTTCCCACGAGCCATATTTATTTCTCTGAATAAACGTGACCCCCGAAACCTCACTGTCAGGCGTAGGGTCTGGCTTCCCGGGGCACCGAGGGACTCGGGACTCGTGGGTCAGAGGACGCGGAGCCCTTGCTCCCGGGGCCTCGGGGCGGGTGGTCGGTTGAAGGTCCTGATAAATAAATCAGTCAACACGGGCGCGTTTTGAAACAGTTCTCTTTACCCGTGATCACTGAGTGACGCCTGAGGCAGGGGGGCCGACAAGAGTCCGGGGCGAGAGCTTCCCCCCGTCCGCCCTCCCCCCCACGGCACATCGCCCAGTGGCACCGTGGAAAGAGGATTCTCCCATGCAAACCCCGGGGCCGGAGGGGAGCGGGGAGCGCGCTCTGCGCCCCCCACCCCTGGGGCACGGACACGGCCACAGCACGGGGGGCGGAGGGCCCCGGGGACAAGAGACACTGGGGAGAGGGACCCCGCCCACAGCTGGCCTCCGGCCACCGGGGACCCGAGGCGGCGGGCGGGGCTGAGTGGCACTGGGGGCGAGGCTTGTAGCAGCGAGTCCCCCCTCCCCTCCTTTCGGACGGAGAAGGAAGACTTGGGCCCCGCGACCGGGGAGAAAGGGGAGGGGGCGGCCTGTCCTCGCATGCGGCCCGGGAGGGCAGCCCCGCCCCCTCCCCGCGGGGAATGGGCACCCGTCTCCCGTCGGAAACTGATCAATAAATTACAAAGTAGAGCCGAGGGAGATGGAAGTTTGGGGGCGGGAGTTCTTCCTGCCCTCTCCTCCTCCCCCCTCGGTCCAGTTCATGTGGTTTGGTCCAGGCCCGGTCCATGTGTGAGGCGGGACGCGCGCTCCCCTCCAGTCTGTGCAGATGGTCCAGGCGGCGGCGCGCGCTCCCCGGCGAGACCACCCTGGGCAGGAGGGGAGGCAGCCCGGCCTCCGGGAGATTCTTCATCCGCGTGAGGTCGCCTACTCCGACGCCGGCAGCACGTGGAGCAGTGAAGATCCATTGTGCTGCCCCAGACCCCCAGGATCGCCCAGCACAGTCCTCACCTGGAGGCCTGCACTAGCAGGAATAGGTCCGGACCGAAACGCCGTCTGCCCGGGAATTCCCAGAAGTCTGGCCTGGAGGGAGATCGAGCAGCGGTTCAGCGCGCACGCACCCGCACCCACACCCACACGCGCGCACCCACACCCACACGCGAGCACCAACACCCACACGCGCGCACCCACACCCACACGCGCGCACTCGCACCCACACGCGCGCACCCGCACCCACACGCATGCACCCACACCCACACGCGCGCACTCACACCCACACGCGCGCACTCACACCCACACGCGAGCACCCGCACCCACACCCGCGCACCCACACGCGCGCACTCACACCCACACCCGCGCACCCACACCCACACGCGCGCACTCACACCCACACGCGCGCACCCACACCCACACGCGCGCACTCACACCCACACCCGCGCACCCACACCCACACCCGCGCACCCACACCCACACCCACACAGAGCACCCACACCCACACCCGCGCACTCACACCCACACGCGAGCACCCGCACCCACACCCGCGCACCCACACGCGCGCACTCACACCCACACCCGCGCACCCACACCCACACAAGAGCACCCACACCCACACGCGCGCACGCCCTGTCCTCCCCAGGGTTTCTCCGATCCTCAACCCCAAGCTTCCTTCCTGGGAATGACAGCCAGCCGGAATCCTCGCCGGCTTCCCTCCCTTTCCCGCAGGTTCGCCCAAGGTGCCCCAGATGACACAGGGCGGGCGCATTTCCCACCCTGGAAAGAGGGTGCGAGAGCAATCCCTTCCACGCCCGGAGAGAGTTGGCTACAGGAGCGGCCCGTGTGCCATGAGCGGGGGAGAACGGGCCAGGCCAGTTCAGAGCCTGCAGGAGGAGGCCTCTGGGCTGGAGGGTTGGTCCTTTTCTCCCACCCCGAAGAAGGGGAGCCGCCCACCTTCCGACTGCAGCTTGCGAAGAGGGAGCCCCGGCGAGCCCAGGGCCCCCGCTGCGGCCGAACGGAAGTTGGGAGGCAACATCTCAGCGGAGTCGGGGCTGACGCCTCGGAGGTCCTTCTCTCGGAACATCTTCCGCCAGGACGGGGAGCGGCTGAAGGACTTGGCGCTGTCCTAGGTACAGGAGCCGGGCATCCGGTGTGGCACCAGGGCCCGGTTCTGACCCCGCCCCTTCCTTGGACTCCACCCCTTCCGTATTTCGCCGCTTCTTCCCACCCCGCCCCTATCCTGGCCCCGCCTCCAACCCCCGACTCTGGGCAGCCAAGCCCACCCCTTCGGCTCCCGCCCTGAAGGTGCAAGGAGCCAGCCTCCGGAGCTGGGCGCCCACCTCGTCCAGCCGCCTGTCTGTGCCCAAGGAGATGAGGTTACTGAATTCCTTTTCCAGGAGCTGCCGGGCCTGGGGAGGAGAGGCGGGAAAGGGGTTGCAGCTTGCAGACTGCGAGGTGGGGAGGCCCAGTACGATCCCGGCCCAGCGGCCGCTCACCCACCTGTGCATTCTGCGTGGGGATCTGCAGGAGCAAGGCCAGGTCGGAGTAATCAAAGGTCTCGTCCAGGGCCAGCAGCGCCCCGTGCACCCCGCTCTCCGTGAGGTTCGTGGCAAATTCCTTCAGTCCCAGTCCGGACACCCAACCCATGACCCGCTCATTGGACCACACCATCACATCTGGGGACCAAAGGAACCCTCAGCTGCAGGCCCGTCCAATTTAGCCCATCCCTTCACCCTCTTTCCTGGCCATGCCTCCTAGACCGGCTCCACCCCACGGCTTATGGTAGCGCTTTTCTTCCTCCGCCTCCCTCCCCTTGTCTTTCTCCAGCCCGGCCCCAAGCCTCGCCACCCGGCTCCCAGAGGGACTCTTACCCCCTTCTACTCACCTCGGATCTGGGTCTGACTCTCTTCCCGCCTCCGCTCCAAGTCTTTCCGGTCATAGTTGAGCCGTTTCAGGCACATGATCCCGTAGTGCAGACTCACCCTGAGCAGCAGGGGAAGCGGGTCACAGGGGAGCCTTCACACCCCAGTGACCGCTGCTCCCGCTGGGCCCTCCCCACCGCCTGGTCTTCTGGGAGGGGCCAGTGTTGTTCTATTGCAGCGGTTCTCAACCTGCGGGTCGCCACCCCTTTGGCGGTCGAACGACCCTTTCACAGGGGTCGCCTAAGACCATCCTGCATATCAGATATTGACATGAGGATTCATCACAGCAGCAACATGACAGTGATGAAGTAGCCACGGAAATAATGTTATGGTGGGGTCACCGCATGAGGAACGGTATTGAAAGGGCCAGAAGGTTGAGAACCGCTGTTCTATTGGGTCGGTTCTAGTGACTGCGGACCTCAGAGCTGGGGTACTTTCAACAGGCAGTTCCTATCCGCAAACCTGGAAGGGGGGTGGGGTCAGCTAGCCCAGCTGCCTCAGAATTTGGACTCTCCCTAGCGGGCCATCTTACTGACGGAAGAGTACGGGGTCGGTTTCCGGAGAATCCCATCCCCAGTCCCACTGGCCCAGACTCTGCAGGAGCGTGGCCCCCGCCCCTGGCCTGTCCCGGCGGCAGCCCCACCTGTGGAAGCTGTCCACCATCTTCAGCTGGCCGCGGAGCTCCTTTTTGTTGAGGTGGTCCAACATGCGGGCGTCCACCAGCGACTCCATGAAGTAGCTGCGGTACTGGGGCAGCCCCAGGCTGGGCAGCCAGTCGTTGCCCACCCACTCGTGGTTCATGTCGCCATATGCCAGGATCTGGGGCCGTGGGCAGGTAGGGGAGGGGTCAGGCCCTGGGACCCCTTCCCGTGTATGTATGTATGCAAGGGTACGGTCTACCCCCCCAACCCAAGGTCCTGCTTTTTCCACCCCAGAGCCGGACAGTGGACCCATCCAATGGTGTCCCCTGCTCCCTAAGAAGGACAGGACAGAGCCGTGTCTACTCAAGTGTGGTCCTTGGACCCACGGCATCGCTAGCGCCTGCGAATTTGCTGGGATTGCAGAATCTCAGCCCCAGGCTACTGACTGAATCAGAACCTGCGTTCTCACAAGATCCTCGGGTGATGTGAGCCGTACATTACAGGCTGAGAAGCGGTGATCTAACATGGCCCCAACTCAGAACAGATCAGCCCAACCTCACTACGCCCCCGAGTTAACATCATGGATTCTCCCAGCACAGCGCTCCCCACAGCAGAGAGTCATGGAGTCACCCAGCACCCTGGCACTGTCCCCAAAATACTAGTTCAATGCTGGACCCGGCCCGGGACAATATTCTGGATCGGCCCAAAGTCCTTCCCGGACTTCAGCATAATCCATGCCTCCCCCTGGCCGGAAGCCAAGGGCCCGGGGTCCGCACAGTTCTTTCCAACAGGTGAGTTCATGCCTCCCCCTTCTTGGAGCTCCTCCTCCCCAACTTCTCCGCCAGACGTGCTGCCCCCTCCCCAAATGCTTTCCCCTTTGCCCGGCACACTTTCCCCGCAGCCAGCGGGGAAAACGGGTGCACCCTCTCCCTCTAGTCATAGCAATGGAACAACCCCCGGAGCCCCCACCACCCTCGATCATGGGGTGGCCCGTGCACCAAGCTAACAGCTAACAATGGAACCACCCGGCTTCTGCCCAGACCCCCACCCTGCCACAGCGAGACAGTCCAGAGCCGAGCTCCGCACAGCGCCCCGCCCCCCCGCGGTGATGAGGGGATGCCCCAGCGAGGATAGGGGTGGGGCTCGGAGAAGAAGGGGCGTCCATGCAGCGTGCACAACCTGGTCATGCGCCCCCTTCCCGCCCCGCGCCCCCTACCTGCTCCCAGCTGATCTCCTTGGTCTCCTGACCCGTTAGTGGGAAGAGGGGAAAGAAGGGATGGGTTAAGGGGCAGGCGAAGGAGGGCGGGAGGAACGAACAGACGGACAGACAGCCACAGACTCGCCCCGTTCCGCCCCGCCCCTCCCGAGAGAGAGTTCGTGCCACCCCCAAAGCCGCCGGCAGGGGGCACTCACAGGCTTCGTCGTGGCCGTGAGGGACTCCATCTCCTCATGTGTCATCCACACGTTTCCTGTGGACTGAGGGGCCGCGGGGTGTTAGGGAAGGGGAGAGAGGACTTCCAGACAGGGAAAGGGGTGGGGGGGGGACGCTCCTGGAGGCTCGGGTCATGCACATTTATACACAGTGTACTTTCTGGCTGAGAAAGGCCAGTCACTGCTTGGACAAGCCAGGGGCAGAGGCAGGATCGTTTATTGAGCACCTTGGGCTTCGGAGTTGACCAAATTCAGGTTCCCATTGAGGGCCTGCTGGGCATTTTGCCGTGTGGCCCTGCGCCAATGGCATCACCTCTCTCCACACAAATGTACAGAAAGGACGCAGAGTGAGGTGGCAGATGCAGCAATGGGGCGAATGCTCCAGGAAGGAGGACGTGCGTGCACATTTATTGAGCACCTGCTCCCAACAGCCCCCCAAGGGTTAGAAATTCAGACATGCATTCAATCATGTGGGCCCCGGCCGGTATGGCTCAGTAGGTTGGGCATCTTCCTTTTTATTTTTTTTTAATATATTTTATTAATTTTTCACAGAGAGGAAGGGAGAGGGATAGAGAGTTAGAAACATCAATCAGCTGCCCCCTGCACGCCCCCTACTGGGTATGTGCCTGCAACCAAGGTACCTGCCCTTGACAGGAGTCGAACCTGGGACGATTCAGTCCACAGGCCGACGTTCTATCCACTGAGCCAAACCGGTTAGGGCGGTTGGGTGCCTTCTTATGCACCCAAAGGTTGTCGGTGTGATTCCTGGTCAGGACACATGCGGGGATTGTGGCCTTGATCGCCAGCAGGGGGCGTGCAGGAGGCAACCAATCATGTCTCGGTCTCCCATGGACGTTTCCCTCCCCCCCTCATTCTCTCTCTCTCTCCCTCCCCCTTCTCTCTCTAAAAATCAACAAAACATTTTTTTAAAAGAAAAATGTATGTAGCCCTAGCCAGTTTGGCTCAGTGGATAGAGCATCGGCCTGTGGACTGAAAGGTCCCAGGTTTGATTCCAGCAAAGGGCATAAGGCACATGCCCAGGTTGCGGGCTCAGTCCCCAGTAGGGGATGTGCAGGAGGCAGCCAATCAATGATTCTCTATTATCATTGATGTTTCTGTCTCTCTCTCCCTCTCCCTTCCTCTCTGAAATCAATAAAGATATATTTTTTTAAAATGTATGTAATGACTCTGAGTGCCAGGCACAGTTGTACCGTCCGGGATGTGCAAGGGGAAGTTTGAGTATAGACTGACTAGTAGATGAAATTAACAATAACGGTCGTGTTCTTAGGTGTGACAAGGGCACGGTGGCTACGTAGGGGAAAGTTCTTATTTTTAGGGGACGCCCGCTGAAGTAATTTGGGGGGCCTACTGGTTATGATGTCCACACATTACATTCGAGTGCTTCCGATGCACACATTCACGTGTGAACAGCAAGCGTGGCAAAGGGCTAAGTGCTGCATTAGGCACGGCACACATGATTTTCTGTGTGGAATGCAAGGATAAAGCATGAGAAGGCAGTAAATGCTATGGAGGAAAATCAGGTCTTAATGTCCTGGGGTGATGGGCAGCGCCTCTCGGAGGTGGTGACATTGAGCTGAGACCTCAGGGATGACAAGGAGCCAGCCTTGGGGGAAACGGGGAGGGGGTGCTCCAAGAAAAGGGGGTGCCAAGGAGCAGAGTGAGGGAAGGAGCGGGCAATGGCCTTTCATCGGGGGCCTTGCCGGGAACCATATGGGTTTGTCTTATTCTCCAGGATGGGTCCCTCTGGCTGCGGTTGAAGACAGACTGAAGTTTAGGGGTCCAGGGGAGGCAGGGAGACCTGAGGGAAGACCCTCCCCCCACAATCCAGGTAGAGGTCTGTAGGACGGAGCTGGAATAAGCAGGCCTGGATTGGCTAGTCTGAAGGCCAGAGGCGGGGCCTTGAGGCGGCAAGGGCTGGGATCAGCCACTGGACACTCACCGTGCGGGAGGAGGCGGGAGCAGAGGGCGAGGTGAGGGAGACCATCTCCTGGATGGCGAGGCGCAGCTTGAGCCGGTGCAGCGGGTTGCTGATGCCGATCTCCCGCTGGATCTCCGTGTCGGACAAGTTGGCCATGATGGCCCCACTCTTGACATTGGCCCGGCAGGCGGCCACATACCACGCAGGCATGCCTACCCACAGCTGGGCCAGCGGAGGAGGGGAGAGAGAGACAGGCAGAGGAGAGACAGACGATATCACACAAGAGGAGAGACGGGGGAGATGGGGGAGAGACAGAAAGAAAGGGAGAGCCGGAGACAGAGAGACGGGGAGAGGCAAGTGGGGGAAGAACAGAAAGACACAAAGGTCACAGTGGGGAGAAACAGACAGAGCAAGTCAAAGGGCCGTGAGTCAGAGGGAGCCACGGGGAGGCCAAGGGGGAGAGTCAGGGAAAGGCAAGGCCGGCGTCAAAAGGGAAAGAGAGGGATGGAGAGAGACAGAGATCAGGAGAGACACACAGAGAGGAGAGACAGACATGGGGAGAAATATGGGCCATGACAAAACAGAGATGAGGGGAGAAGCAGGAACATAGGGAATCCGAAAGAGAGAGAGAGCGAGAGAGTGAGAGGGAGGGAGAGAGGGAGAGAAGCAACAGGAGACCAGGACCAAAGTGAGCATCCCAGAGGGGCAGGCGGGGGGGGGGGGGGGGGGGGTAGCGGGGTGGGGGGGGAGAAGGAGAACAAATAAGAAGGAGATCACAGGAAGCCTGACTCCTTCCAGGGCCTCATTCCCCCCCCCCCCCCCCATCTAGGCCAGGAGGGTGGTGCTAGGTGGACCCAACCAGCCCTAGTGGTGGGGCTGTCACAGGGGTTGAAGGTCAGGAATCAGGGCATTTCTGGGCCTCAGTACCTCCAGCCAGGAGACCACGGTGGGGCCATCCCAGGCGGCAAAGGGCAGGCCCTGGCGGCAGGCCTCTTCCAGAAGTTCATGCCTGGGAAGAGGGGGCCAGGGCAGAAGCTCTCAGGGGCAGAGACCCCAGCCCTCCTGGGTGGCCCCCTTCACCACAACCCCCTCTCAAAACACTGGTTATGAACGTAGGAAACCTGGCAGGAGGTTCCAACAAAATGCATGCGGATCTTTGTAAGTCCACCCCCCCTCCCTCCCCACTCCCACACTCACTTCCTCTTGTTTCTCCGGTCCTTGTCTCCTGGGCCTGTCAGCTTGGCTAGCCCCAGAGGGTCGGTGGCCAAAGTCTCATCTGAGGGTGTTCCAGCTGGAGGCAGGGAGGGGCCAAGATTGGGAGAGTCTCAGGGGGAAGCAGACTATTTCATGCTGGGGGTGGTGAGAAGGAAGCCAGGAGAGCAGAGGCCCCAAGGGAATAGTCAATGAGGCCACAGAGAGGAGTGATCAAGCCACACAGGGACCAATGTCACCTCCCAGGCAATAAATCAGAGATAACCCCAAAATAGGGCATCCATTGGCCTGGCCCTGCCAGGGTGGCAGTGGTGTGCTGCCAAGTGTTTAGCTGGCTCCATGAGGAGGAAGGAGCTATTCCTTGATTTGTTGCATTTGCCCATTTCTATGGTGTGAATAATCCCACTGTGCCACTTTCAAGCTGCCAATGTGATGTCAGGCAACTCACAAAATGCCTGAAAATTTAACTACTGGCTCTCACAAGCCAATACAAGAAGGCTCCAGCACACCAGGTGCTCTGCCTTTAGGACGCACCTCCCTAAATGGGAAACGACATAACAATATGATTTAGCCCTCCAGTCACTCAAGCAGGCCACAGAGGGCTCTTTCTCCCCCCCCCACCCCCACCCCCTCCTTCCTCTGCCAAGTCCTGTCCCTTCTACATTGTAAATGAATTACCAAATCAATGAGGACATGAATGAAAGTCAAGTGAATCTGTAAAGAAGAAGGAAGAAACAATGCAAGGATGGAAGGAAGGAAGGAAGGAAGGGAGGAAGGAAAGAAGGGAGGGAGGAAGGGGTAGAATCAGGGTACTCACCCAGAGAGGAGCTGTCCCGTCCTGGCGGTCCCATTCGCCCCTTCTCCTTCTTGCCAAAGAGACGACCTATGGATGACTTGATGCTCTTCTTCTTGGGGGCTTTGTGCAGGGAATCTTGGGTGCCCTCACTGGATGAGCAGGACAGGGTGAGGGCAGACCCCATCTGGGATGCGCCCTTTCATCCCAAGTCTTTGTCCCCTCCCATGTCATCCTCCCAAGCAAGCCCATCCCTGTCCCATCTCTTGTCCCTGCTGACCTTCCCCGTGAGGGTCCCCCATCTTCCAGGGATCCTGCCTGCAGTGCCAAGGCCTGGGTCATTCTCTCTATGCGGGCAGAGCGGGGCGTGGGAGGCGGGGTGTCTCCTGGGATGGCTGGCCCCTCCCCTCGTGGAGCCCCAGCTTCATCCTTGGGGACATGATTCTGGGGATAGAGAAGTAGAGAGGCTGGATTAAATTTGAGTCATATTGGGGGTTCCTCATTAACTAAAATATCTACTGGGGGATGTATGAGGCATCCCTGGTTTGGGGAACCATTTCTGAAGGTAGCCTAGGCCAAGTGGGATGAAACGTAAAGCCAAAGATTACAGTCCCACCGGAGCTAAAGCCCATATTGATAGTTTCATAGCTTAGGGTGTCAGAAGTGGGATCTGTGTGGCCCCAAGGAAAGCCACTAGGTTACAGGTTCTGAAAGCAGAAAAGCTTGGGCTTTGGGCAATAAAATAAGATTAATATCCGTTATGCATCCCTCAAAGGTCAATTATGAGGATATAATGGCAGTTCTCAAACGTATGTTCAGTCACAGAAGCATTTTAAAAAATCACTTGCAGAAACTTAATGCATAAAACTGGTCAAGGTAGACCAGATCTAACTAAATACAAGTTAGGATTCAGGAACCCAGTGGCTCAGTCCTCCCTTTGCCCTTTGAGTTGGAATCTTTAGGGAAGATAAGGTCGCTTTTGAAAGCCACTGGTGTGAGAAGTTATTGTTGCTATCTGTTGGGGAATCCTGTTTCTGACCTCCTACCCACCCCATGAAGCAAAGGAGACTTCAGAACACTTACAGCTTTGTCGGCGCCCTCACGGGCAGGACTAGGGGGTGCCAGGCGGGGTGTTGAGTGGCCGGAGCTGGGAGGGGAAGGACTGGCAAGGGTAGAGGTGGTGAGGGAGGGGGGCAGTGAGCAGCTACTGCGGTAGCGGCCCAGTGAGTCCAGGGCAGAGCCAGATACCCGGCTCTCCAGTTCTTCTGCCCTTTGTTCTGTTGTCTCCTTCTCCTCTTGGATTAGCCTGAGGAGGGAAAGGGGGAGAGACTGGTGAGAGGACTGAGGCAGACGATGGGAGAGGGAGTCTGAGGATCCCAGTGAGCCAGAAAGCTTAGGGAGGCAAAAATACTTCTGAAGAAGGCATAATGAGGTTAGAGGGTCTTGGTGGATTCGTGATGTGAACCCACCAAGATTCAAAGGGGGCTAGGAGTCATGATGGGCTCAGGAGGTCAGGGAAGTCGATTAGAGACAATGATCAGGGTCTGCATCAGGATGACCCTGATGATAACCAAGTGGTTCTGGAAAACCATAAAGGGATTTTTTATGGGAAAGAGATCAAGGTTCAAGGAGGACAGCAAGAGCAAATTCATAATAAGATCCAGATGAGATCTGGGACTCAGAGGTCAACCTAGGATCTAGGAAAGTCTTAGAATCATTTTGTATATGAGAGTTGCTTACTCAAGTCAGAACAAGTTTGAATGGAAGATGGTAGTCATGTTGGTATATTTGCTGGGTCCATGGAGGGTATATTATTAGAGAACTAGAGGCCTGGTGCACAAATTCGTGCACAGGTGGCGTCCCTCGGCCTGGCCAGTGATTGGGCTGATCAGGGCCATATGGTGGGAGGTTGGCCAACTGGGGGGAGGGACCACGGGAGGTTGGCTGTGGGAGCACACTGACCACCAGGGGGCAACTCCTGCATCGAGTGTCTGCCCCCTGGTGGTCAGTGTGCGCCATAGCTACCAGCCAGTCATCTGGTCATAATGGTCACTTAGGCTTTTATATATAGAGATTGCTAAATAAGGTAGTTGCTGGGGAGTTGGGATGTACTTTATATAATGAGTGAGTCTTCAGGAATTGAGAATTCTTGTTATATATTATCTGTTGGGTAGAAATTCTTGGTACGGAGAATTGCAGTTCTTGATGTGTTAAAGTGAGGCTCTTGGTGTTTTGGGATGGGGTGCTTGTGTTGAGAATCTTGGGGGACCAGGATTCCCTGGGTACTGTTTGTGTGAAGCCATTAAATCCATGGTGTCCTGGAGGATTGTTGATGTACTGGATTGAGAATTTTGGTATTTGGAGGTTCAGTCTTTGCTGTGTTGGGAAATTGTGAGTACTTAACTGAAGGATATATATGTATATCTCATATACGAGACTCCTGGGGGATCCCTGGATACTGGAGGGAGTGTCGGGCTGGGAAAATCCCCGTGAGGACAGTGGGAGAGGAGATAGGCTCTGGCCTTCACAGCAGACTCCACAGCGAGAGGGGCTGTGGGGTGAGCCCAGGCAGGGCCGTGCGGCAGGACGGGGCCGGTGCTCACTTGATCTCCTTGTTGATCGCTTCCAGCTGCTCCTGAAGCATGATGGCCAGCGTCTGCACATCGGCCTGCCCGCTGGGGGAGAGCAGCTCAGCCCCAAACATCCCCTCCGCCTCCTCCTCATCTGAGCCATCCAGTTCCCCAGGAAACGGGGGTGGCATGGACCCCGCAGGGGCGGACCGCTCCCACTCCTGTGTCTGTGTGGAGAGAGAGGGGCCCCCCCGGCGGGCAGGGGAGGAGATTGGCCCTGGGTTGTCCTTCAACTCTCCTGACCTTGCCCGCCCTCCGGGACCCGCCCACGTCCGACAGGGACTGCCCCCACCCTGTGATGGGGCCCTCACGCTTTTCCCAGCTCTGCTTTGTCTCCTGACAGGTCCCTTTCCTTGACCACCCCAACCCTCTGAGGACTCCGCTCCCAACCCTGATTTCACTGTTTTCTTTGGCCCAACTCACTTCCTTCACTTAACCCCACCCATTCTAGGATGCTACGCCCTGCCCACCACCCCCCGGAACCGTCCCCCTCACCACCCCATCATCCCTCTAAGGCTCTCACCAGGCAGGATTTCCGCAAAGAGACATCCAGGCACGTGGGGAAGAGGGAGTTGTGGGAGAAGGACAGAAGACAGCATGGGTCCGGGAGACCCCGCTCCTCAACCCAGCCCCCTCCCCGAGCCCCGTCTGATAGACCCCAGTTCCCACTGTTGCCCTCCCAAGCCCTGCTCAACCCAGGCCCCAGAAGTGGCTGCTGACCTTGGAGGGCTCATCCTTGACCCCTGACCAGCGGCTCCTCTTGCCTGCTCGGCCACTGCCAGCCCCATAGGGGTCCAGGTGGGCACCGGAAGGTAACGTAGGTGCCTGGGAGTAACGGAGCTCCAGGGCACTGCCAGGGAGAGACCTGTGGGCATGGAGAAGACCGTCAGAGCCCTGGCTGGTGTGGCTCAGCTGGTCCAGTGCTGTCCCGTGCCCCGAGAGGTCATCGGTTCCATTCCAGTCGGGGCACATCCCCAGGTTTCAGGTTCAATCCCCGGTGGAGGGGGGTATGCAGGAGGCAGCCGACGGATGTTTCTCTCTCTCTCTTGCTCCCTCTTTCTTTAAAAAGCAATAAAAATATATATTTAAAAAAATATTGCCCTGACTGGTTTGGCTCAGTGGATAGAGTGTTGGCCTGCGGACTGAAAGGTCCCAGGTTCGATTCCGGTCAAGGGCAGGTTCCTTGGTTGCTGGCACATCCCCAGTGGGAGATGTGCAGGAGGCAGCTGATCGATGCTTCTCTCTCATCGATGTTTCTCACTCTCTATCTCTCTCCCTTCCTCTCTGTAAGAAATCAATAAAATATATAAAAAAATAATAATAATAAAATAAAATATATTTAAAAAATATTAATAAAGAAGAAGGCAGAGACTAAGGGGTCAAGAATTCTTAAGAAGAGCTGAGCCCTGGTCAGTGTGGCTCCGTTGGTCGAGCGCTGTCCTGTGGACTGAAAGGTCACAGGCCCGATTCCTGGTCAGGGCACATGCCTGGGTTGTGGGCTCGATCCCTCACAGGGGGCATGCAGGAGGCCGTCCAATGATGCTATCACATCACACTGATGTTTCTCTCTCCCTCTCCCTTCCCCTCTCTCTAAAAAAATCTATGTTAAAAAAATTTTTTTAAAAGAAAGCTGAGGTAGGAAAGGGCCTTCGGTCAGGCAATTAAGAGAGGGATCTGAGGTCAAAGGTCAGGGGAAAGGATCTTGTGTCAGTGGTCATGAAGTCAGGGGTCAAAACTAAAAGAGACTCGTGGAAGTCTCCGGAAGACAGGCAGCAGGTGCAGTGGGTGTGGGGGAGGCCGAGGGATCAGAAAGGATGAGCCTGGCCAAGGGGGTCCAGGGGTAGAGGAGGCAGGAGCGCTGCTGTCACCTGGAGTAGGAGGACGGAGGCCGCCCCCGCAGCTGGTCAATCTCCATCTGCATTCGCTCCATCTCCGCCAGGAGCTGCTCCTGTGGGGACAGGTCAGAGGGGTCAGGTCAGCATGTGCCCAAGGCACAGCCCTCCCAGCTGGTTCCGACCCAGCAGGGCCTGCCATTGCCCGGGCCTCCCGCCAGGACCCGCATACTTTGTTGAGCAGCAGCTCGTCCTGCAGTTTCTTCATGTTGGCAATCTCCTCACTCAGTGAGTTCTGTGGAGGACAGGGGTGCAGTGAGGTGGGGGGGGGAGCCTGAAAGGGACATGCTCTGGGAGCCCGAGAGGAGCCCCATGAATGAGGTGTGCATGAATGGTGAGCTGGAGTACATGGGGATTGTGGGTCCAAAGATGCAGCAGGGTAGGGGGTCCCGTTCCTGGGAGCCCCAGAATTCCTGTGTAATTAGAGGATTCAGTTTGAGGGTCCCTAGGATAAGAGGCTTGGGGAAAAGCCAAGAACTCAGGGTACAGGTGCCCCAGAATTCAGCTCTTGGGGGGTTTAGGTGAAACAGCGGTCTGTGCATTATGGCAGAGAAGTCTGTTGGATGCGAGAGGTCCAGGTTTAGGGGGATCTCAGATAATGGGTCTGGGGGGACGATCCGGGGCCCAGGGATTTGGGCAAGAGGTGGCCCAGGATGCAGGGCTATCGGAGTGCTGGCTTGGGGTGCACCTTCTCCTCCAGCGCCCCCATCCGCTCCTTGAGGTGCAGCTGTAGCCGTTCGTTGGACTCGCTCAGCAGTTTGTCCACTGTCTCGGACAGCCGCTTATTGTGGTCATCGTTCATCTTCTCGCGCTGCCTGGCCTGCCCCGAGGAGAAGGGGACCGCGGGTGCTCAGGCCCACCGGGTCCAGAGCAGAGCCGCCGCTGAGCTCCTCCCGCCGCCTCCAGGCCCCGCCCCCGCCGCCAGGCCCCGCCCCTCGCCTTCCCTGCATTAGCTCGTTCCTTCTCTCACCCGCTGCAGTTCTTGGTTCTTCTCCTCCAGCTGGGCCTCCAGCTGCCTGAGCCGCTCCTCGAAATTCCCATGGCGTTCCTCAGCCTAGAGGATGGAAGGAACCATGACGTCCGACTTGGCCCCCCTGGGACCCAGGCAGGCTCCAGTCCCACTTCCTCCAAGACCGGTACCAGGCCGGGCCCTCGTCCACCGGCCGTGTTCCTTTCCTCAGATCGTGTTCCAGGCCATCCATCCTTTCAGTCCAAACTAGAGAACTCCTCCCCCCACTCCCCGTCGCAGACCTCCAGACCCTGCCCCCATTCCAAGTTTTATCCCTTCCCCAATCCCCAGGCCCTGATTTTTCATCCAAAATCCAGGCTGCAGGTCTGCGACCCTTCCAGACTCCAGGCCCTGTCCCCTCCTCCGGGCCCCGCCCCATCCAGACTCCAGGCCCCTCCCCTCCTGACTCCAGGCCCCGCCCCCTCCTGCAGAGACTCACGGCCCCGCCCTCTCCTGCAGAGACTCAGGCCCCTCCCCTCCTGGCCCCGCCCTCCATAATCCAGGCCCCTCCCCTCCTGACCCCGCCTCCTTCTCCAGACTCCAGGCCCCGCCCCCTCCTGCAGAGACTCACGGCCCCGCCCCAGGCCGCCCCTCACTTTATTGAGGGCCGCCACGCGCTGGGCCAGCTGCGCTTCTATCTCGGGCAAGGTCTCGGCCTTCTGCAGCGTCTGCTGCAGCTTCTGCTTGGCGTCGTCCAGCCACTCGGCCAGCTGGCGGCTCTTCTCTTCGCTCTAGGGCAGGACAGGGACAGGATTGGGGAGGAGCTGGGTCTCCCGGCAAGGACCTCGTCCTCAGCGCCCCTTCCCGGGCCCCAGCGCCCCACCTGCCGGTACAGCGAATCCTTGCTGGCCAGCTCGTTCTCCAGCTTGTCGTTGGCGTCGTGCAGGGACGTGGCCTCGCGCTGGGCACTCAGGTAGCGCTTCTCCAGCGTCGTGATCCGCTCCTCCATGTCCTCCCGCTGGGCCAACGCCTGCAGAGGTGGCAAAGGGCCTCGTGGACTACAGCTCCCCAAAGGCCCTGCGGGGAGCTTAGGCCGAGAACCCCAAATCAGGCACCCCAGGGAATCCTGGGAAATGCAGTCCCCTGGCTTCTGGACGTCAGAACGGTGGAACCAAGCCTGCCAAGAGCCCCCGGGAATAGCCAACGTGAGGTCCCTGCCACTTGAAAGTTCGAATGGTGGTACCACACTGCCCGCGAGCAGCACTGGCTTAGACCCTCCCCATGGGAATGGCCCCGAGGCTCAGGGGATGGGAAGTCTCCTCCACTCTTCTTGGGCCACTTGCCTCAAAAACCCAGGACTGAGATGTTTCAGCAACTTGTGGCACAGCCCAGGCTTAGAGTCACAGAGCAAGTGCCCTAGGGCAGTGGTTGTCAACCTTCTGGCCCTTTAAATACAGTTCCTCATGTGGTGACCCAACCATAAAATTATTTCCGTTGCTAATTCATAACTGTCATGTTGCTACTGTGATGAATCGTCATGTCAATATCTGATATGCAGGATGGTCTTAGGCGACCCCTTGAAAGGGTCGTTCGACCGCCAAAGGGGTCGCAACCCACAGGTTGAGAACCGCTGCCCTAGGGCCTCCTGGGAAGCCAAGGCCCCTTCCATCTGGGAGGCAGCATCTCCCAAGATCCCCCAGAGTAGCACAGGCTCAGAACCCCAGAAAAGGTGCTCCGGGGTCTCCTGGGAGGTGGACCTGAGTCTGGGAGCCCTTGTGGTGGTAGATTTCCCATCAGGACCCAGGGCCATCCAGGCTTCAAATGTGAGGTGAAGGCCCTAGGGCAGTGGTTGGCAAACTGCGGCTCACGAGCCACATGCGGCTCTTTGGCCCCTTGAGTGTGGCTCTTCCTAAGCCTTAGGAGCACCCTAATTAAGTTAATAACAAGGTACCTACCTATATAGTTTAAGTTTTAAAAAATGTGGCTCTCAAAAGAAATCTCAATCGTTGTACTGTTGGTATTTGGCTCTGTTGACTGAGTTTGTGGACCACTGGCCTAGTGGATGAGAAAACTAAAGTGCTCACTATTCTTCCTCATCCAGGGCCTTCCTTGGAGAACCCATGCCTACATTTCCCGGCAGCCCCTGGGGCATGGGAGTGAGGATCCAGGAGCCTAAGCCCCGAATGGGTTGAAATGCAGACCAAGGAATTCAGTTTGGAGGCACAAGAGGATTTGCCAATGATAACATCACTAGGAACAGTTCCTGAGCGCCCCCTGCGTAGGTGCCCATGCCAGCCCTCTGACAAAGCTGTGCGTCCCATGCTACAGGCGAGGAAACTGGGGCTCAGAGAGGGAGAGAATCCGCACGGCGTATGAATGGAATCCGGGTTCCACCGTTCCTGAGCTCTGTGACTTGGGGCAAAGGGACGTGGGGACGCGTTCTGGGGACGGGAGGGGCAGAGGGCAACCCACCAGCGGCTCCGGCCTCACCTCCTTGAGGTCGCGCTGGAGCTTGACGTTAGCTTCCTCGGCCTTACCCAGCTCGCGGTGGGCGGTGCCCAGCTCCTCCTCCAGCTGGCTCATCTGGCGGCACAACACCGCCAGGCGCTCCCGCAGCTGGCACACCTCCGCGCGCTGCCGCTCCAGGGCCTCCTCCAGCTCAGCCGTGCGCCGGTTGGATTCGCCTCCAGGACCCAGGCCATTGGCAAGGGCCTGAAGTGGGGACCGTGAGGAAGGAAGGGACAGAACCCAGAGCGGGGAAACAGAGACAGAAAGAAAATGCAAGGTAAAAACACAGTTGATGGCAGGTGAGTGTACAGAGTGAATCAAAGATCCGTAAGGGTGCCCTGCCGGTGTAGCTCAGTGGTTTGAGCACCGAACTATGAACCAGGAGGTCACGGTTTGACTCCCAGTCAGGGGGCTCCATCCCCAGTAGGGGGCGTGAGGAGGCAGCCAATCAATAATTTCTCTCTCATCATTGATGATTCTCTTTCTCTCTCTCTCCCTCTCCCTTCCTCTCTCTGAAATCAATAAAAATTTTAAAAATTTAACAATATATCAGTAAGGGTCTTGGAGGTCACAGTAGTTAGCGAGGTGACCTGAATCAGGTCCTAGGAGCTCAGATGTCCCAGGGTCAGTGAGGATCATATCAAACATTAAAAGGACCATCACGGCCCAGCTGGTGTGGCTCAGTGGGTGAGCGTTGACCTACGACCCAGGAGGTCAGGGTTTGATTCTCCGTTAGGGCACATGCCCGGGTTGTGGGCTTGATCCCCAGTGTGCAGGAGGCAGCCTATCCATGATTCTCTCTTATCACTGATGTTTCTATCTCTCTCTCCCTTTCCCTTCCTCTCTGAAATCAATAAACTATATATATATATATATATATATATATATATATATATATATGATATTTTATTGATGTTTTACAGAGAGGAAGGGAGAGGGATAGAGAGTAAGAAACATCCATGAGAGAGAAACATCCATCAGCTGCCTCCTGCACACCCCCTACTGGGGATGTGCCCGAAACCAAGGTACATGCCCTTGACCGGAATCGAACCTGGGACTCTTTAGTCCACAGGCCGACGCTCTAGCCACTGAGCCAAACTGGTCAGGGCAACAATATATTTTTTTAAAAGAAAGAAAGAAAAAAGGGACCATCACAAAGTCAGAGGAGAGCATGGAGGTCAGAGGGATGAGGATCCATGAAGAGCAAAGGGAGCGAAGGACTTCCGCCTCTTACCTGCCCGTCCCCATCCTTGCCCGGCTCCTCCAGCCCCGATCGGCGCCTAGACAGCTGCTCTCGAAGGTTCAGAGTCTGGGAATGGGAAAGGGAAATCGGTGAGAAAGGAAGACTAGTTCCTTCCCACTGGCCCCAGCCGTCTAAGGAGAGGCCATGGGAGCCCCGGGTCCTGCTGGGGCTGCCCTCAGACCCGGTGCTCTCCTATCTCTCCTTAGCTTCCCAGCAGGCACGGGGGTTGGCCTTACTCTTGTCCTCTTTAGCCCGACTTTTCCCACTCAAACATTCCCGCGGAGTGGGCTCTTCCGGTTGGCCCGGCCCCTGGTTCTCACCTCAGTCTCACTCTCACTAGACAGTTCTCCTCCTAGCCCTGAGGGACCCCACTGGTTCTCTCCATAGTCCAACCCCACTAGTCCTCTGCTATAGTCCTGCCCCCAACAGATTCCGGAACCCAGAATCAGCCCACCCCACTGGGAGCTCCTTAGTCCCTCCCTCCCCTTCCCGGCCTCACCTCCTGGTTGCTCATCTCCAGCTCCTCTTCTAGTACAGCCACCCGCTCCAGCGCCATCCGCAGCCGCTCCCGGACCTGGGGATGGGGCAGGACGGGAGTGAGATGGAGATCAGATCCAATGTAGGACAGTTGGCCATGGTGAAGAACGCCCTGGAACGGGCCTCGTAGGGAAGGTTAGAGTTCCTCTATCTATAATGGATGTGCAGCCCCAACCTGCCACCAAAGCTTAGCCCGGCCACGGGGAGCCCCGCCTCGTTCACTTTTCCATGATCAACCAACCAATCAGGTCAGCCTGCAGAGTCGGTCGATCAGAGTCAACTCCCCCCCCCCTCCCCCCCCCAACTTAGGACATCCCCAACCAACCACAGCCAGAATCTCTGCAGCTCAGGACAGCCCCAGCCACCTGCGGGCTTCCCTTTTACAGCCAGGCTCTCCCAGTCTCCTACCTTCTCATCCAGGGCCTTGTGGTGCTCGAAGAGGGATTTTAGAGCCTTGAGCACCTCCACCTCCGAAGAGACCCCGCCCGGGGACTGGGCCTGGCGCTTCACCACGGTCATGCGCAGTGACCGCTCGTGTCTGGACACCAGGCACTCCAGGTGCTCCAGCAGTAGCTGCAAGGACAGGACACCGGGTCAAAGGGGCAAGGGAAGAGAGGCAGGGTCGACGGGAAACGTGACTCAGACAGGTGGGTTGGACACATGGGCAAAGAGGTGAAGCCAAGCAAAAGGTAAGGAACGAGGCAGGTCAGTAAGAGAGGGATCTCCGAGGTAAGGGGGCGGGGTCAGAGAGGAGTGGCACAGAGATAGAGGCCGTTATGGAGAGGGGGAGAGACGGGAAGGAAGGAGGGGACCCGCAGACACCAGCCGAGAAGTGGGAGCAGGGAGAAGACAGGACCCCAGGTGGTCGGACCGCAACACCGCGAGGCCCCCCAACCCCCACCCCCGCCTGCACCGCTTAGCAAGGCGCTCGCTCACCCGCGTGTTGTTCCGTTCGGCCTTCAGCTCCGCAATCTCTTCTTCCCGCTCCAGCAGCTGCTCTCGACACAAGTTCAGCTCCTTCGTCAGCGCCGCAAACTCCTGTCCAGATGTGGGCAAGAGCGGGACCATCCGATCAATCCTACCCCACCTCCCTCGTGGAACCGAACTGTTGGAAAGCCCCGCCCTCCCCGATAAGCCCCGCCCCTGAGCGGCTCAGGCCCCGCCTCTCCCCGACAGAGCCCGCCCCTGGCCCCCGCCCTCCCAGGCGCCGTGCCCCGCCCCCTCCACGCCTCCACCGCTCGAGGCCCCGCCCCGGCCCCGCCCAGACCTGGGGCAGCGCGATGCTGAGCTGGCGCTGCAGGGAGTCCTTCTCGTGGCCCAGCTCGCGCAGCCGCAGCTGCGCCGTCGCCAGCCCGTCCTGCGCCTCGCGCAGCGTCTCCAGCAGGCGCTCGCGCTCCGTGAGCATCGTGACCATGAGGCGCTCCAGCTCGCCGCCCGCCTCGTCCGGGCCCAGCGCCGAGCCCCGCCGGCCATCCTCGCTGATGGTGGGCATCACCTCGCACATCATGGCGGCGGTGCTGGCCTGCAGGGGCAGCGAAGGGGCAGGGAACAGCGGCCGGCCTCGTCAGGGCGCAGGCAGGGAAACAGACATGGCCACTCGGCTCATGCATGGAGGAAACCGAGGCAGAGCCACCCAGGCATATTGCACAGGACAAACTGGAGGTCTGTTCATTCTGATCGTGGCATAGGATAGACTGAAACCCATTGCTCTCGGGGAAACCAGGACCTGGCTACCTGGGTGAGAGCATTCGGGGAAACTGAGGTCAGTCTCCATCAGGCACCGACAGCAAATCTAGGCCCAGCCTGGTCCACCGCACGGAAGCCGGGTGCCCCAGGCACTGCCTCCTGAGTGCATGTGGAAAAGTCAGCTCCTACCTATTTTGGCCACACTGAGAATCCCCCTCCACCCACTGTATGAGAGACAGAACCGAGCCCCTGCCAGAACCGTGACTTCAGGGGGACACAGGACTGCGGTCACAGAATTAGGTCACTGGTACCTGATTAGCTGCTATCCAGCTTGATTCCCCTCTTCTTCAGCTTCTCATCCGGACCTCAACTCCAGAAGAATCTAAAGACCCACTCCACTTGGAGAAGGGGGAGCATGGAGGAGGGCGGGGTAGACTAGCCATCTCCCACAACCCGGGTGACCAAGATCCAGCTCCCTCCTTCATCAGGTCTGGGAGTTCCTGCCCCAAAACTCAGGAGTCTGAGCCTCCAGCCTCCCTCCTTCTCAATCCCGGGAGTCAGAGACTACACCCTCTGCTCTGGGCTTTAAACCTCCAACCTCAGACTCAGAAATCCCAGCCTTCAGACCGCTGCTCCCCCAGAACCCGACAGGCCAGGCCCCCAGGACCCAGGAGCTGGGGCGCACAAGCTGTGGGCGGGGATGAATGGAGTTCCCCGGAGCCACTCCCTCGAACGCATCAGGTCGGACAGGTCCAGCTGGCCCAGCCGAAAGCAGGAGGGACTTTCATTCGCTTCCCCCCTTTCCTTCTCTCCCATCTGGCAGTGGCATAACCGGTTCTAAGAGGAGATAATTCCCAGCGCCACCCCATTTTCGGACTGTGTCTAAAGCCTGGGACTGGGGCCTTGGACTTCTGTGAGGAGAGAAGGGGGGTGGTGGCTAGGAGAGCAGGCAGCTGGGTCCCTTGGATCTTTGAACAGGTACATCTGGGAATCTAGACACCTGAATCCCAGAACTCAGAGGCCAGATTCCGGAATATGTTTTCATCAGAAGGCAGGCCAGCCTTAGGCCCCAAACCAACATGGTATCTAAAACCCAGAGCCTGGTCAGGGGATGCAACACAAGATGCTTTAAGGAAGCTGTTCTAGAACTTCAAATTCACTGAGAAGGAAACGAAACACAGCAAGGCTGGGCACAGATCTAGAAAACCACCAGCCTGTAGATACAGCACAGAGTGCAGAAAGAACGTATCCTTCCATGTGTATAATGTGAGTTGGGTAAGAGCTGCACTTCGGGCATATTCTAGAAGCCTGTTCTGAAACGTTGAACCAGCCAAGAGCAATCAATAACTTAAAAAGCAACTGGGCGACCTCAGAATGTTATCTAAGGATATACCTAATGCCATGCACAACAGACCTCGTCAGGAGACATAATCTAGAATGCAAAATCTACCAGAGATGAGGGTATAACACGGTTTGCCATCTTGGTTTTCTCATGTGTCTAGAAGATAATGCTAGAACTCAGAATGAAAAAGAGATGCTCTAGAATTCAGGACATGCCCTGGAGGGGAAGAAAAACCTAGAAAGTAGCGAGGAGTTTGTCTGGAACTTAGTCGTGCCTGGGGGAAGATGTAGACGATGCATGCTTGGAATTGAGAATTTACTGGCATGGGGCCTGAGCTGGCAAAGGAGAGATAGGGTGCTCTGGAAATGAGGACACTTCTAAGCTGAAGACTCCAGAAGAGGGGAGAGCCCAGAGCATGATTAGAACGCTGATGTGGCAGGAAGAGCAGGAAGCCCACAGTCCACCAGGGGACAAGTTCTGAGCCAACATCACACGAAGGAAAAGGTGGGCGGAGAAGGTGGGAATGGAATGGATGGGCCTAGAACCTAGAACCTGAGGAGGAAGATCTAAGGTAGAACGCTTCAGTGGGAGTCTTCTAGATTGTAGACTGTAGAACTGGCTGGAACCTGAAGCAGAAAATACATTCTAGAGTTGGTGGCACAATTCAAAGGCTAGAGCACATAATCGGAAGACGCTCATTCTAGAACTTAGAATGTCCCTGGGAAGAGAATGGAATGTAGAACAATGCCAAGGACATGGCTGGAATGTAGAACACACCTAAGATGAAATTTTAGCAGAGAACAACCAAGGACTGGGTCCTGTCCCAAGAGACAGTGGGATCAGAATGTGGCTTGCGGGGGGGTTCTTTCGATATTCGAATTCATCTGGGGAAAGATATGCCTAGAAATTAGCATCAAGCCTAGAACTGAGAACAAGCCTTGGGCAAAGACGGAACAGAGATGTTGACTGGGAATGTTCCAGGATCTAGAAAGAATCTAGAAGGTGGAGTGCTACAAGGGCAATGTTTAACCGGAAATGTGGAAGGCTGTGAGTAGGTTCGATCATCTAAGGAGCCGAGGCCACAGAACACATTTGGAGGAAGGCATGTATGTTTGGCTAATAGAGAGTGTATTCAGAGAATGGGCCATCACCATATGGGCCGCAGAAGGCAATGGGGTGCCAGAAATATCTCAAGAAGCTGGGTCTCAGGGGAGAGAATAGAGTCCCGGGCAGCCCAGCAACTGACATGAAATGGGGATGAGGCAGGAGTTTGCCAAGGCCGCTGGGAGGTGTCATGTTTATAGGGGGATGGTGAGACCAGGGGGACCTGGGTCCCTAAGAGTAAGAGATGAGGAGCTAGAAACCTGGGCAGGAGGAGAGTAGATTCGGGGACCTGGACTCCTGAATCCTTGTGGAGGTAAAAGACTGGGGGGGCGCTGAGGCAGATGGCCTCAGTACAGGCTGGTGACCAATACAGAAGCTAGGATCTGAACGCCTGGGTCCCTGATGGGGTGCAGGGCTGGGAACAAGGCGTCTAGTCTCCAGGGGCGGAGGTAGGGGGTGGGGAGGCAGATGCCAAAATATGGCATTAACAATTGCATTCTGAGTCCCTGGAAGGGAGGGAGTCATGGCGCCTGAATCCCTAAGGGGGCAGATGCTGGGGTTCGAGGAGGCTGGGTATATTTGCCTGAGGAGCGCAGGGGCTGTGGAGCTGGGTGTCTAAAGGGACAAAGGCTGGGAACCCGGGCCCCCGGATGCCGATTCCCCTAAGGTGCATGGGGCAGGAATCTTCAGAAGCCTTGACTCCTGAGGAAGGTGCTGGGGTCCCCGGAAATCTAGGGTGCTGAGGGCCGGGCCGAAAGCCTGGCCGGCGGAACCCTGAGGCCCGGGCGTCAGTCCGGGTCGGGGAGGGCCCCGGGTATCCCCGGGTCAAAGGCGCGGCAGGGGGGATCCCCGCGCGCCGCGCCGCCGGCGCCCCCTTTCTGGCGGTGGCAGCGGGAGGTGGGGGAGGCGAGGCTGCCGAGCGCGCTGACCATGGACAGCTCCAGAGCGGGCCTGTGTCCAGGGTGGCCGCGGGCCGGCCTGGACCGGGGGACGCGGCCGGCGGCTGGAACCGAAGGGCTTGAGACGGGCAGACGGGGTGCGCGAAAGGGGCACCATGCGGACGCGACCGGGGACGGGCGGCCCTCGCCCCGGGGAGTGTGACACGGCCGCGGCGGGTGTCCGGGACTCTCCGGACTGGGCCGCGGAGGAGGACCTAGACCCGGAGGGGTTCCCAGGGCTGAGCTGAGCTCCAGGCTCCTGGGCCCTGGAGGAGGCGCCAGGCGGCGGTCTGCCCGGGATCCTAGGGTTTGGCTGGGGACTCTGAGAGCCGGGAGGGGCACACCTGACTCTCTGGGGCTGGGCTGTGCAATCTGGGCTCTGGGGTCCCCGGGGATGAAGAAGGGAAGCCAGGATCTCGGGGAGGCGGGGAAAGCTAGGCGAGGGGTCCCCGGGGTGGGCGCTGCCTGGCAGGCCGGGCTCTTACCTACCTGGTCCGCGGCGGCTGCGGGCGGAGCTGGGCTGCAGGAGGGACGTGGGGTGGGGTGGGGGGACCGGGCGGGGCCCCTGGCGGCGGCCGGGGCCCGGATCTGTAGCTCTGGAACCCTGTCTCCGCCGCTCGCGCGGGCTCCGCGTCTCTTGCTCCGGCTTTGGGCGCTGGGGACCCCACTCCCTCTCACAGTCTTACAGCCCTCTACCCCCTAAAATAGTCCCCTAACCCTGTCACCGTTCAGCCTCCCCCCACGAGGCCGCAGCCGCCAGATTCAGGGGTGCCCACCAGCGCCCCCAAAAATCCCACCTTCCCCCCCAAAAAAATTCCCTCCTCCCTCCCCCCAACAGCTCCCGGGCGGTCGTGGCCCCTTTAACAGGAGACTGACAGACGGCTCTGAGTGGCCAATGGGAAGCAGCGTCGGCACCGGCAGGAGGCTAAACCCCGCCTCCGCACGGGCCGGGAGGGGTCGCGCGGGCGGAGAGCGGGAGGCGGGGCTCGAGACATATCAGCCAATAGGCGTGAGGCGTGAGGCAGCTGGGGCGGGAGGCGGAGCCCGGCCGGGAGATGATGTCACCCGGAGCGAGTGGCGTGCGGCGCGGAACGCGAGTCGCGACCCCGGCCGGATCCCGGCGGCGGCGCGCGCCGGCCCTCGCGCCGCACGAGACGGGAGGGGTGGGCGGGCGGCGAGGCGGGAGTGCAGGTTGTGTCTGAAGGTGGGGGCGACTCCCGGAGACGCGTCTGGGTGGCAGGGTGGGGTGAACGCCGGGGCGGCCCGTGCACACCTTACTCTGCAATCCCTGCGCCCGCCGCGCCCGCCTCGGGTGCTGCACGCGGCACCCCCACCCCGCCTCCCACGCCGGGCTTCCCCCGCGGACAAGGTTAATGGTTCGCTCCGCCCCGCCCACACGCAGGACACCCACTGGCTCCCCGCAGCGTGTCAGCACTCGTGGGTCGGACCAGCTACCGACGGGGTTCGGCCTTCGCCCGCAGACTCTCTGAAGGGTAGTGGGGGGCGGGCGTTGTCTTCAGGTCTGAGCTCGCAGTCTGGGTCCCAGCCTCCACCCTTGGACGTGGCCCTTAGGAAGCTGCCCAGCTGCCCCCTTCAGACCTGGGTGGGGAATGCTGTACCCCGGCTTCTTCAGGGCCTGGTCTCAACATCAGCTTCTTTCCCTCCCCCACCCCTCAGGGGAGACCCTCCAGCCCCGGGATGCAGGACAGACACACAGACACTCAGTGAGGGGCAAAGATCTTTAAACACGGAGCCGGTGACAATAAATACTGTACAGGGGGAGGGAGAGCGGGAGGGTCCGGGTCTGTGGTTTCAGCCTCAGGACTCCAAGGACCTGCGAGGAGGGTGAAGAGAAGGGAGCCAGGCTCAGGGTAAGGAGCCCAGGGAGGGGATGGGCAAGAGCCAGGGCTGGGGTTCCAGAACCGGGGCTGAGGGAAGTGGGTGGAGGAATCCCAGGGAGGGTAGGTCCAGATCTTGGAATGGGAGTCAGCCAAGAGTCCCCCGGGGTTTTAGCCAGAATGGCGTGGGGCGAGAGTCTGCGTCAGGGTCAGAATCCCAGGAGAGGACCCATGGCCGGGGGGTGGCAACCAAGGGTCCAGGAACCATTGGGAGTCTGGGGATGAGGGAGGCCGTGGAGACCCCCGGGGAATGGTGGCAAAGGGCTCACGAGTAGCTCTGGTGCTGCTGGCGCCGGCGGGCAGAGCGCATCTTCTCAAAGCGGGCCTCCATCTCCTCCAGCACGCGGGGTGTGTAACGCACCACCAGCTTCACCGAGCCCTGGGCCGCCTTCAGCAGCTCCACCGCCTTCTCGTGCTGCTCACCCTCCACGCTCTGCAGGAAAGCGCACAGACAGCTGGGCCGGGGGCCACCCCTCTCACCCACCCCCCACCCCGGAAACAGGTCCAACTGTCAGTGACCTGCGACCAGCCCTGAGGTGCCAAAACCTCATCCCCTCATGGGAGAGTCAGTAACTCTTGGCTCGGTGTCCTCCCCCCAAATTGTCCAGGTTCCTCATGTCAGGGACAAGCCCCATCTGCCCCCAGTCACCGAGCCTGACCTCCAGGACCATCTTTATCCCCTCCCTCCCCACAGGCCTGCTAACCGGCCACATGCCTCCTGCCCTGACTCCCTCTTCTCTGTCCCCACCACCCTGGCCACGGCCGGGGCTTGGTCCCCTCCACAGCGGACTCTTACTCTAGTCCCCTCCCTGACCTTCTGGCCTCCAGTCTCTCCCCTCAGCCCATTCCCCACAGAGTCCCAAAGGAGTCTTTCTACTCCTCCAAGCCTCCCCTCCCCTCCCCTACTCACAGCCCTCCCATGGCTCCCCAGAACCCTTGAGAAAAAGTCCCAGCTTTCTAGGCTGGCACACAGGGCCACCATCTAAGTTATGCCCCCATCTACTCGAAAAGCTAGCGATTTTAATTACCTGCATGCCCCGCCCTCCATCCGAACCAAGCTCTTTCTCTTCATCTCACGGGAACGTCAGTCACGGTCCCTACCTACCACAACCTCAGCCAGTAACACCTTCTCTACCTTATTTGCCTGGAGAACTCCTACTCATCCTTCAAACCCCAACTCAAATGTTCCTTCCTCTGCAAAAACTCCTTTCATCCGCCCTGGTCCGGTGCTACGTCACAGTGCTTTGTGCTGCCTCATGAATATCTCCCTGATCGGGGCTCTTTCACTCAGGGCCTATCTCCCTCATCAGAGAGGGCGTTCTTGAAGGTAAGAGCTGAAGCCAATTTTTCTCAGGGTCTGCAGCAGTGCCTGCACGTGGCTGGATGTAGGGGCAGTGCTCAGTCAGTGTGTGTTGAAAAAATGTCAAAAACAAGGACAGACTTTGACCCTAGCGCCGCCCCAGCCTCCTACTCACCACACCGTTCACCGACAGCAGCTGGTCCCCACGCTTGAGGCCTCCGTGGCGGTCAGCCACACCCCCAGGAATGACACGGGAGATATAGATGGGCGAGTTCTGCTCCTTGCCCCCCATGATGTTGAAGCCCAGGCCCTCCTCCGTCTTGGGCAGCTCCACTACCCTGGGATGTGCGTGCCCCTCACTGGCGGTGAAGGCAGCAACTGTGGCCTGGGAGAGAGGAAGCATGGGGAGGTGAGGGCCTCTCCATCGCGGACATGTGGACGAGGGTGGAGGATCTGGGCCGGGAGAGCTACTGAGGCCACAGAGCTTTTCCTGAGCACGAGGTGCCAGCCACTGTTCAAAAGACGATTTCATCATGACTACATGTCCCTTTCGGCTCACTTTGATGGTTCAGACATGTCAAAGAGAAAGTCTCCATTTGGTGCGAATGTGTCTTGAAGACTCAGCACTTGCCAATCTCACTTTTTAACAGAGAAAAACAAGGCCTGGAAGAAGCTGAGAGCCTCCGGGAAGCAGCAAGAACAGCATCTAACTATAATGTAATCAGATCTCAGTGTTTCCTGACATTTCCTTGTTTTCACTGGATTGGTGTTTAAGGTTATCTTCTAGTCAGGCATTCAGTACCAGTTTCAATGTGTAGTAGATAAGGATGCCTTTCATGACATTTAAGTTTAAAATGAGAGATTACTGCCCTAACCGGTTTGGCTCAGTGGATAGAGCATCGGCCTGAGGACTGAAGGGTCCCGGGTTCGATTCCAGTCAAGGGCCTGTACCTTGGTTGTGGGTACGTCCCCAGTAGGGGGTGTGCAGGAGGCAGCTGATGGATGTTTCTCTCTCATATCGATGTTTCTAACTCTCTATCCCTCTCCCTTCCTCTCTGTAAAAAAATCAATAAAAATACATTTAAAAAATAAATAAAATAAAATGAGAGATTACTTAAATTCGAAATAAGTAATAGTAAGGGTGGTACAGAGATTTGGCAAAAATCATGAAGGCGAAGCCAGGAATGAGTGGCATTAGGAAGGTCCGTGGATGCTGTGAGTGAGGGGTGGAGGGCGCCTACCTTGGCCGTGGCGTGGGCCCGGATCTCGGCGCTGCCGGTGATGTCCAGCGTGTCGTAGAGCTGCTCGTACACCTGTGAGGACACAGCAACATCAGGGACCTGCCAGCTCCCTCCTCTCAACCCAGGAGTCCAGGCCTGGCCCCTCCCACCCACCCCACACCTGGAGCGGGAGGAAACTACAACTCCCAAGGAACCCCGGAGCTGACGCGCGGGCACCCCGAGGCGGGCCGCCCCGGGCGTTGCTGGGAGGTGTAGTCCCCGGCCGCGGGGCGACCAGGAAGAGCACTGGCAGCCGCCTCCTCGTGCCCGGCGCCGCGCGGCGCTCACCTCGCGGATGGCTGAGCAGAAGCGGCTCTGCAGGACGCGCTGGAGGGCCTGCAGCTTCTGCGGGGGCAGCTCCCCGCTGCGCTGGAGCCGCTCGAGGAGCTCCACCGCGCGGGACACGTCTGCGGGGCGGGGGCGGGCGCGTGCACAGAGTCAGAGACACCAACACGCAGAGAAGTCCCGAGAGATGATGCGGCCAGAGACCGAGCAAGGGCCAGCGCGGACAGACCCGGAAAGGGCAGCTGGGTCCCGATCGCACGCCCACGGGGTCGCCAGTGGCAAGGGCGCCCTTCGTCCCCGGGGCCCCCATGCACACCCAGGCAGGGGTGCAGTGGGCGCCCCTCCCCGCCCGCTCGCCCACGGACCCTCCCACACCCACTAACCGAGGGACTCAGACGCCCCGCCCCGCCCACCCCCGCCCGGCCCTTGCCGGGGAGGGGCGGGGGCGGGGGTCCCGGACGCGGGCCAGGGCCGGGTGGGGCAGGGCCCCCTGGCGCGCTTACCCCGCTCCAGCCCCAGCGGCTCCACCAGCGCAGCCATGTCGGCGCCGCTGCGGCGAGCCGCCCGCCCGCCCGGTCGCCAGTGAGGAGGGCGGGGCTTCACGAGACCACGCCCCCGGCGGCGGGCGCCCCCTGCGGAGGCGCGGTACTGCCTGCGCTTCTCTCCCTGCGCCGCGGGCGGCCGCCGCACCTGCTCCCGCCCC